TACTTCACTGTGGCGTGGCTTTGAATGGGCTCTTCCCTCAATCGTCCTCAAGCGAGCAGACCACAAGTCCAGAACCTTTTGGTTTGACTCCCACTGAACTGTGGGGCTACTGCTACCTGAGCAAAACGCCAAATAGTTTAGCTGTTTGCAGATTGGTCCTAAAATTCCCGAAGAGTTTACGCTTACAAATCCAACCACAACTGGGCCAAGCTAACAAACCTGGTTTGTCAAACTATGTGCTAAACAGGGGGTTTGGACAAACTAAACATGACCCATCCCCTTTTGGTTCCTGTTGGGTAAATGCGCTACTTAGCGCCCAGAAAACTGCAGCACCTTTCAACGCGGGGGGTCGAAGCCACGTCTCGCTATATGGAATCCGTCCATTTGGTGTCATGGCAAAACAACCACTTGTCATCTACACCCCCCCTTCCCGCCCAACCAAACCCGGGGTACAAAAATCATGTTGTCAGATCCTCTGTCATATGTGCCCATTCTGTTGACGGTACCTCTTTTGGAGCCATGTTGAGGGAAACACTATCTTGAGACGGTTGGTCTACCCCAACGCTGTGAAAATGCTTGTTCAGTGACCTTTGGGCTATTCTGGAGGGCCAGTTGGGGCCAGACAAATCCTGTAAGACCAGCAAAAGTTCAAGCTCAGCAAATTCCTTCAAACATTTCAAACCAAGAGGGGAAGGCAAAGATGCCCTATGATCCAAGAAGAACCCATGCTGATCAAAGGATCCCCTCGAAATAACCTTAGAAGGGCAACCATCCTGGATTGTTCTGGTCCTCCATAGAATCCTGGTTGAACATATTTAGTAAGGACCAAAGACCAAAAACTGACTCCCGGTTGCCCAACGAGCCGACGGGCTTTCTACAAATCGCAATCGAAGCGGCAAGGCTGCGCGCCCGGCCGCGCCTGGCCCACTGGCACGAGCCCTCGACTCGCGGCGCTACGGTCGCACCAAAGGTTCCGAAGCCACTTGAGTCAAAACCTGGTACAGGAATTTGGTTGACCCAGAACCATGCTTCAGGAATTGACAAAGCCGGAGATCCGCACCTAAGTCTTTTCTATTGTCCCGTACCCTTCAATAACCGGGTTTTGAGGACGTGACTCACACGGCCGTGGAAGGCCTTGCTCGCCTCATCCGGCTTCTTCAAAATCGGGGGTCTGGTATTATCATTGGTTCGTGGGACACCACAACAAGGGGAACCGAACACAAATTATTCAAGGATTGATTTTGAATCTTGAACAACCCAGCTTAGATGGTTCAGGGGTTGGTTCTATGGTTAGAAGCCGCAGTCGCAAAGGATTGCACGGAGGTTAGGGTCGCTACCCCCCCATACCATTCAATACTCAGGGAGTAGGATTGGGTTTCTCTCATGATGTCGCGTCTGGTTGGCAGTTGTTCCTGTTTCATCGTTGGGCTTCCTTGTTTTCCTACGAAACACCACCCGACAGGTTTTGAGGGGTCCTTTCAATTGTCCTTTAAAATCACCGCAAAACGATACCCAGAACAGAAAAGCACGCACAAGGACCCTCAGTTGTAGCGAGGGTCTAGTCATCCATCGCCTTTTGGTTTCCTTTGAGGAACTGAACCGTGGATTAGTTCCAACTTGAGGGCTTGGTAAACACCAAGTCCAAACTCTTTGTTTGCTCAGGAAGTGAGCCTTGGCACAGAGTAACACCCCAAACAAAATACCTGCAAATGTCCAAAGGAGAACGCAACGACCCCCTATGTTCTAAAAAAAAGCCTCACAATGCAACCACTTTGCGGGACAATGTGTGAAATAGGTGGTCTGGCAACATTTCCTTTCGGGTCCGCAATCAAACATCTGCCACATGGCCCACGTGGCATCGTCAGTCCTTGGCTTCGCGGCAAAGGTCCTCGTGGGCGGACCACCAGAGCTTGTCAAAGGTGGTGCGTGCCAGCGACAGATAGTGCATCCAGGGCTTTCCTCATACGTCGACCGCTGCAAAAAGCACGAATTCCGCTGGTTTCAGTTTAGGTCCAATTATGCACCACCGGACTTTTGTTCATCTATTTGTGCAAGGGATACCAAGGATCCGGTTTCCTCAGCCAAGTGCTGACGGCTACCAATGGATAACCAGGGAAAACCATTTGAACACAATGGGCAACTAAGGGACACTACCATTTACAACTACGGAAGGGCAAAATCTTGGCTACCTGAAACAAGGGGCGGCAAGTTTTGCTCGTGCTGGAACTTGCAAATTGAAAAAACTAAACCACTCTGGGAAGCAACCGGGACACCTAAAAAAGAAAGATGGGAACAAACTAGGAAACCACACGAATGGCAGTGCCTCCAATTTTCAATGGGTAACCAAGGGAAACCACCCTGCAAAACTAAGAGCGGTGTCGGGAAAACTTTGGCAAAATCTGATTTACACGCTAGTACATCTAGAGTGGGTAACCAAGGGAAACCACCGGTTCCTGTGACCCTGGTAGTAGAAGAATTGGAACCCTGAATGCGTTGACCATTTAGTGGGGAATCCACCAAACAGAAATGGACAAAGGGCTTTAAAGGACCCAACACTCCCAGACTCCAAGTGGTGATGCAAAAAAAGGCACAGTTTGCAAAAAGGGCACCACTGGAGCTCATTGTTTTGGAGGGGAGCGCCCCTGCCCAGGTTCCCAAATCATCAGGTTCCCAAAAGTGGGCCAAAGGGGTCAAAAAAGTCAAGAAGCTCAAGATGGGCAAGGCTTTCGGGGTCCAAAGACATATGGCAGTGGGCCGCCACTTTTCTGTTGTAAGTAAGAAACTCACAGATTCCAGAGGGTTTCACTTGCCAAAAGAATTGGACAATAACGGGTGATCAATCGTTTGGACTCACTAAAATGCAGACTGCAAGTCGATATGTGAGTCTCAGAAGCGTACCTCCAGCGCATGGTTGCGTACAATTGTTGAAGGATCCTTTTTGTGATTCCGTTTAGTGGTCGGAACCCATCCAACCCTGACATTTTTGTGACTTTGATCGGGGATACCCTTGGTCTCACTCAATCACTCCAGAAAATGCACATCTTCCGCCCGTTGCCCTCTTTCGCCCGGGCCGGATTTCGCCCTTCCCGCCCGTCATCCCAGGCGCTTCGGGGGCCCGTCCAGTGCAGCAGCCGGGCCCGCAGCAGCCCCCGAAACCCCCCGCCGGAGTCGGCGTCAGAGTCAGCTGCGGACACCGTTTCCCCGGGCTGCGGGAACTGCACTGCAAGCTCCGCCTCGAAGAACGCGGTGCCGAAAAAGCCACCGGCTCCCTTTGATTTGGCTGTGGTTATCCATTTCGCACCACTTGGAATCCATGGTTGAAACCATGGTTTACTGGTATTTACAGGGGAATCATTCCAGGTCTTCCAGATTTGAGAGGTTACTTAATGAGGGTACCCGATTTTTTCTGTAGTCTATTTAGGAGGGGAACCTTCCCCAAAAAAGGGTAAAAGGACACTACTGGGGGGCCTAGCCTAAAAAAAGGGGCCCAAGAGGGTGGTTTCTCCAAAAGAACACAACCGGTTCCCTTTGTCCTTGACAATTTCCAAAGATAGGGGGCGGGTCCACAGGGCTGGCTTTTTCAATCATGGTTCCCTTTGATGTCCTCAAGTGGTGGGTTCCCTTTGTCAATTACAATACGGAGTGGCCCAAGAGGATGGCGTTGCTGACAGAAAGCTTTTTGGAAGACAACTGACCTGTAGAGAAAGCTGGATCTCCACCTTCAACTTTCACGAAGCACCCCCGAAGCTTGTCTCCCTTGGCAGGTAGTTGATTTTACAGGGAACTTGAGCCCAAAACTAGGGGCAAACAAGAAACAGCCGGCCAGGTGCTACGGGTTGTGGTAACTGGCAGCTCAACAATTCCAACAACAAAAAACTAAAAACAAATGAAACATGGTTCCCCTTGACCATCAGCTCAAGTCCCCTGGAAAGAATAAATTGCCAGCAGTTGATAGATTTCTTTAAAACCAACAGGGGGAAATAAACACATATGCTTTTCAGCAAATGGAAGTTGATTCTGTTTATTGGCAACTCAACAAAAAAGATGGCGGCATCCGCCTCTTGAAAGTCCGGCGAGTCCATGGCGGCCACAAGCGCCGGGTAGGACACGCAAAAGTCGTAGCGCGGCGGCAGCACGCAGACCTCACCGCACTCTGACCCAAGGTGAACGCTACCTTACCGGGGCCAAGCTTCTTTACCCCAAAACTGGGATTTGTTACATCTGTTGTGCCATCTGCCTCTAGTCAAGGGCAAAACATGTAAGATGTACAATGTAAGGGTGAACCTCGGGTGATCATTACTTCCCAAAACAATCTAGAGCACCTGGGTAATTAATAAGGAACAGCGTTGAGCAGCAACCACTCAGTTGAAAGCGGTTGCTTTTACTTTGGTTTCACAGTGGAGTCGGCGCCTCGCGACTCAATTCAAAGCGTTTGCGTTCACTTTCATTGGAGTCACTTCTGCTGACAAATCTTGACGGGTTTCGGAGCATCCGGTAGAAGCAGCATCGCCACCGACCACCAAACATAATGCACGCCCAGTATGCTGCCATGTTTCTGCATGTGTCAGCCTTGCCAGCTGCAATTCTGTGTTCCCAAGAGCCAGGCCCAGGAAACACTTGGTTGCACAGGCCCCTAGGCATTGACAGTTCGCAGTGCTTTCTTGCGGGCACAAGAAAGCCAAGCCCTAGATGCAAAGCAAAACCCCCACTCAAAGAAACACATCATCCTGGAAAACCCTGGACCCCCCCAAGGAAACCTGCAAAACCCTGCAACAAATTCATGCACCAGTTAACGGGCCGATCGGCGTGACATTGGTCGGCGTGAGTCTCCGGCCAAGGCGCAAGGCCCAAGGCTTGTGCAGCTGTGGCCGAAGGCTCCAGACCGGGGCTCAGCGCCGGCATGTCCTGGCCCGCTTCCGGCAACCGCAGCAAACCCTGGAATCAAGTACTTTTGCCAGCCCCAACATGATCTTAACCTCTTTAGGAGGGGGGAGTGTTGGGGGGGGGGGGAGTTTTGCACTTGGTGAACCCACCCCCGAAACTGGCCAACTCATCATGCAGCCAGTACACAACTCCCGACGACACACCTACACGTTTATATATTGCCCGCATCTTAGGCCGCTTCTGAAAACGGCCCGTTTCGAGGCACAACACCTTGGCATGAAGGTCCTGACGAGTGGTTTGTCTGTTTGCCTCCTGTGTATAGTGTATAGCCGTGCACGCATCAAACATGTCTGGGCAACAGCCATGTCACTGAAACAAAACAAGGATGAGTCGGTCCTACAGCTCTTCGGTGTTTTGGGGGGTCAGTCTGGTAGTCTGGCAGTCCGGCCCTGCAGATCAACATGAAAACCCAACACCGCAAACTGAGAGAAATGTATTGCTGGGTTCGATGAAGAACTTGCAGAAATGTATTGCTTGGCGCTCGGCCCTTGGACTGACTGCATCTAATCATGTGCCATGTGCTTAGCACAAAGCCTCAACAGTTGCCTCCAAACATGGAGGCAACGGTAAAACAAGGGAATTCATAAGGGAAACCAACCAGATGTGATACCCCGACCAAATAGCTTCAGACATCGCAGGTGAACCTCTACAAATTGTGAGTTTACTCTTGGTTCTCCTTTGCAATGCCATCCACCATGGGATTGATCGCCCCTTTTAGTACATATCCCTGCTTTCCCGGTGGATCGGCCAAAAAGGCAACCAACATGTGTGATTGCCGTGTTACTTTGATCCCAACAAATCAAGAGGCTTAGAACTTGACCAAGTGAAAGGTTTTTCCAAACACTAAACAGGGATCCTGACATTATACACCTGAACATTGCCTTGTAAATGGTGGTGTCCCTTTATTTTGGTGGAAAAAGCCATGTTTTAAATGGGCAAAATGTATCTTTTAAGGAGTACGGAAATATGGGAAGTAAGAATCTCCGAGTCTAGGAGTCATGGTGCGTGTTGCACAGCAACCCAAGGAAGATGAATAGCTGGAACCTTTGGGGTTGACTGTGCTTTAGTGGGGAACCCATTAAAAAAACATGTTACGGTCACGTGCCTCTGAAAGGTGCGTTCAATGACACGCAATCCCCATGCGATCATATACAGTACATCCAAAACTGACAATTGTTGCTGACTTTTGCTGGACCTTTTGTCACTTCAACAAGCCCAGCTGGGAGATGGCTATCAATGACCAAACTCCACCCATCTCCAACCCCTCGGTTTCAATGAATTGAGTCTCCCTTGGTCCGGCTACCCGGAGAAGTTGTGTCAAGGGAGGAGATTACTCAGCTACAAGCAAATACATACCAACGTATATTATGATGTATAGGAGTGTACAAGGGGTATAAACCAAGGAGAAAGAAAGCGCCATACAAGGGGTGCTCAACGTTGTGAAAGTGGTCTATGTTTGGGGCGCATATCCAGCGCACGTAGAAATGATTCTCAATCTGCGGATGCCACCACGGTATGCACAAGGGCAACAACAGGGTTTCACACTGAGTTGGGTGCTGAACTCGGCTTGAACCCCCCCCCCCCTTGCCCCAAAACAGCTCCCTACAGGATACCTCCAAAAGCCACCTGCCTTACACGTGAATCCTCAGCTGGCTGGCGAAAGTATCGTTCCAACTGTTCCAGGCCCAAACGCATCCTTCCGACCATGTCGACCTGCCTCCATGCACCCAGCAAAGCGCCCGGAGCCGGCCTCCCACCTGCAAACGTAGAGGCATCAACTGTTGACGGGTGTTCTTTTGTTGGCTTGCCAGTTGCTTGTTTGTTGGTTGGGCTTGCTTGCGTCTTTTGTTTGTTGGCCTGGTGGGTTGGCCTGTTGGCTTGTCTGCTTGTCTGTTTGTCTGTCTGTCTGTCTGCCTGCCTGTCTGCCTGACCTGACTGCCTATCTGTTTGTCCGTCCGTCCGCCGTCCATGTGTGTCCGTTGTTGTCCGTCCGTGCGTCCGTCTGCTTTTTGTTGTTGACTTGTTTGCTGGTTGGTTGGTGGGTTTGTTGGTGGGTTGGTTGGCTGAGCGGCTGGCATTGCTCACAAGACCCGAATGGCATAAGGAGAAGCATCGGTCCGTTACGAAATCAAAACGTCAACACGTTCTCGCTCTTTGGGTGTTTGACTTTCTTTTAGCGGCTCGGAGCAACTCTGTGGGGGGTTCAATATATGGCTGTGGCTCAGAAAACCGGTACCAATGTGGAACCCTGGCAAGTGGAAACATGAACCAAAACCTGTAACCCCTCCTGTTGAATTTGGAGCCACACCCATATAACGGCTCTTGTCTTATTCCGGTGTTGTGTGCCCCAATCCAGTGCTTCGAGCTAGCTCCCTCGCGCGCCTTTCAAACTCCTGGACCCCTTTTCAGACTGCCTTCGAGGGTCCACAGCTGCAAGGCTCCCAAAAGGAGCCAACAACTGAAACAAGGCATCCTAAACAATACAAGTCTTCATGGGCAGCCTCAGCGAGAGTATGTGTGACACCACTTGCCTGGAGGCCTTCACCGCCCCCCCCTCCCTGGGTCAAAACAACAGCAAAAAGAAGCCAACAATCGTAAACCCAAGGTGAGAAATGGACCCCCAAGCAAGACACCTGCATCTTGGTTTGCAAAGCACCCGGCAGGTGAGGTTGATGAATATGTATATATATATATATTATATATATATGTATATGTATAATTGTCCAGACCGCATGGGTCGGCGTCCTTGCATGAAGCGTGACTCCGCTCTCGCCTTGGGTAGCCTCCCCAGGAGAAGTGATTCACGAAGAAGCCTTGCGTGCCAGCTGTCTCACAGGGAGGCGGGAAACATGTTTTTGATGACCGCATCCAATCGACCTCAATATGTGGCTGCCTCAAAGGGAACCTATCCAAACATTGATACCTCAAGAACCTTCCTAAGTTAGACAACTATAATGTGGAAACCATACTCAGCAAATAGCAATTCTAGAATCTACCAAAATAGCATGCAAATTATAATTACACATCCACTAATGTAATCTGCCATACAATTGGTCTAGAACTAAGAATGCACCCAAAGTACGTCTTATTCATTGTAGGATGATGGTCAAGTAACAATTGGCAAATAGGGGCACTTTTGTGAGCAAGTAGTTAGATGGGTCAACACAAATAGGAATCGGCAAACAAGAAATTGGCCAAACAAGACACAACTGCCACTATTGCCTGTGCTTGGAGCACAACATTCATGCCCGATTCTGACATTCCATTTCAAGATGGACCGAACAGGTGTCAAACCTGGGCCAAACTAAACATGGGATTGCCACTGTCCCCATGTTTGGTAAAACTGATTCAACGTCTGATTCAACGTGACACCATGTCATTTGAGAGCTTCGAAAAGCGAAGGTTCACGAAACAAGCCACCAAACACAAATGGCGTGTTTCAATGGAACACCAAAACAAACACACAATCTAAACAACTTTCCATGGTACAAAAGGGATTCAAGCCCAAACGAGGAAACCTGTTCAAACATCACGTGCTAACACAATCCTTCTATATTTGGGACACAAAGGAACCTTTCCCAAAAAGGAAAAGTGCCATTTGGCAGTTGTTGGGACACCATCTTTTGGGAGCTACTTCCAAGAGAAGCCAAGGAGGACAACAACAACGTTTGTCTGGGTGCCTCCCTCATTCAGATCTCAGAGTTTTTCCCTTTCAAAGGTCCACTTTTTCCAAGGGAGAATTGGGTATATACACTTTTACGATTTGGCTATTATAGTGGTGTGGGGGTAGTGGAGAGTTAACCTGTTGCAGGCTGAAGGGAGAATGAAGAAAACCAAAGGAACGCAGCTAGTTCAGTCGGACAAAACCAAGCAAAACTGCAAGCTGAGTCAGGCAATGTTACTTTTACACGGGAGAAAGCGGTTCCTCCAAGAATCACCTCTGCGGAAGGACTATTCCCATCTCATACCCGGAAATCCGCAAAGCCCACCGCCTGCTCGGCTTGAACGTCTGAGACTTTGGGTGAAACACCTACCAACTGGCACTGCTGCTTTCTCTCAAGGAAAAACATGCACAATAACGTGCCTAGTGCCTGCTGGCAATGTAGAGACAAACCAAAACAGAGGCTGCTCAAATGGCCCATGCTTTTTGGCGCTCATTTGAAAATCGGGCCGCTGTGCTGGAGCATCTGATCAACGGACCGCACGCCCGTGGTAAAGTCCGCCGCTTTCGCCGACAGAAAATCCACCATCGCGCCGTAGATGCGCCTCGCGAAGGCGAGCGCTGCGTGGAGAGGGAGTGTTCGTCTCCAAAAGAAACAATAACGGCTCCTCTTTTGCTTCCCCTCTTGCTTTCTCCTCTGCAAGCTTGGATACCGCCGTTGAACGACGCCTAAAGCATTCAAACACCACTAACCGCCAGAGAAAAGACCAGGAAAAACACCGGGGAAGGTAGGCGCCGAACATGAGCTTACTCGCGATTTGGGGGGCTCAACATTTTTGAAGGTCGAAACCAAACTGAGAAGCCAACGCCCTTGCGAAGAATCCATGTTCCAACATCCGTACTCCGGCAACCCTAACTCAACTGGGTTGTATTTGGATCTCTTGGGCAGGTAGGGGTGTCCTGAAGCCGGGTCCAGGGACAAAAAGCCCATGGCAGCGTGTCAGTCTGTCTTTTGTCCAACGACCATGGCCGCATCGTCGCCCTCGAGCCTCGAGCCCTTGAAAAACCTCCCAAGAGTGCAGCCCAAAGACTTGTGAACATGTATACTGTATACAGGCCGAAATGGGTACAACAAACTCGCCAACGCTTCAAAAGGAACTAAGAGTGATGCTCGCCTCAGAAGCCAATCAACCAAACAAACAAGCGAACAAGCAAGCAAGCCAACAAAGAAACAGACACACAAACAAAAGATTAGCAAACAAACAAACAAAACAAACAAACAAGCAAGAAAGCAGTGACCAAGCATCCACAAACCAATCCACCTCTTTGCGCAAGCAAAATCCCTAGCCACCAAGTCGGCATCCCGCACCTGTCAGGTCGAAGGCTCATCACCCCCACCGAGATCTCGGAGCCTGCAAGGAAACCGGACCGGGCATTGCACGGAGAAAACCAACCGCCTTTTTCATCCGGGGTGTCCAAAACGTGGGGGAAGGGGCGCGTGCCCTTTTTGGCCATTAAAACAACACCACTTTGAGACATTGGTCTGACTACCCCCCCAAATCCCCAAAGCACAGAGGCCCCCTTCTCCATGAGGGCGTGGCACGCGTGGCCATGTTTCCGAAACATTGCACCAACTCGAAGGTTTGATTCCATTTCCATTCTCTTCATCCTTTCCTAAAAAAAAACAAAAAACAACTACTTTTTCCATGGTTTTGGTTCCCCGTTCTCATTGAAGAGAATGATGCCAAGAGAATGGGGAGGGTACTGCTACTGTCTCCTCTCCTCCCATGCCCACCTCGACCATCTCTGGACAAATGCACTGGGGCCGCCAAGGCGACCTCATCCTCAGCCGAAGCCCTCGCCCCAGGTGTGCTAAACCTCAAGCAGATCGTTTCTGTCATTCTACCAAACAAACACATGCCATCCTGCTACAAAGATGATCACATGGTTTTGTTTGGTAGAAAGTTCCTGCTACAAAACATGCAATGCTGCAAAATGGACCAACAAACAAACAGCAAACGAGTTGAAGGGTAACCGAAGAGCTCGGACAAAATCGTTAAGGGTTTCCAAAACCCCGTCCATGGTAGACGCCCACGGGTATAGCAACAGTTCCTGAAATCAGGCTTTGGTTGGGACGATCCCAAATAAACCCATATATACTAGGGGAGCATCCAACCAACCTCCATGGGAAGGAAACGTCAATAACGGCAATCAAACTGGCGGCAAATGGTGCACAGTGGCACAGTTCAGCCTTATTCTGCCTACGTAGTGAGGAAGCAGTCGCGTTCTGAAAGTGGAAAGCTCTCCGGTCAAACCAAAAAGGAGGCAGCGATGCGCTGCTCGACCACACTTCCCCCTTGAGAGTATTGAACACATCCGGGTTGGTGCCTTGTAAGGTGCCAGTTGCAAGTGGAAAGCTAGCCAATGAGCCAGGGCCAAAAGTCCTCACATGGGTCGTGCTCATGGTTGGCGCAAAAAGAACCTCACTTCATGAGAGGCGTGGTCAGCAGAAGTCTGGACTTTTTGTTTAACACTTTCATGATTTTCCTAGAAACATCAGAAGTCCAAGGAAGTTGTTTTGCAACATCCCCAAAACAGGGCTGATCATGATCCCTAGCCGTGCGTTCTTCAAGTACTCCCCTCCAAAAACGAATTAGAAAATAGTCAGACATAGTCCATTTAACTCCTGTCCGTGCATTTCATTGCGAAACGGAGTGTGGGGGTCTTCTTAGGGATGCCAACCTGTTCCCATAGGTGGCTTAAGCAAACACCCGCCTGCTGCACTTTAAGCTCACTTGCCCGAACATTCTAGAAACAAAGCATCAACCGTGCAGGGCCTTGACTGAAAATGGCTGCCAAGCAACTTGAACCAAACATGTCAACAGTCCTAAACGCCAACAGTCCTAAACGCCAACATTCCCAAGTTGCCCCCTCCAAAGCTGAAATGGTCATTACCAAGTTGGCTAAACCATGTTAAAACCAAAAGGTGCGAAAGGTCCACCTTGGAGCAAGTCGCCTCCCAAGGCAGGCTTGACCCACCAAGAGGCTTAAATCATCCACTCTTATACAGCCTCCTGTGGACTACCAATCTCATGGGGCCTTTGGGGTCTGGTTGTTCAAACCAGTTCAGCGGCGAACAAGCTGTTGACTGTTGATTCCAACGCGGCTAGCAAGGTTATCAGCCATAGCCACCACGAAGCCAAGTAGCAGAACCACCCCCAAACAATTGGGTATGGGTCAAACCAGGGGACAGCAGGTTTTAGTCTTTGGTTCCATTTATCAGGGTTCCATTTACGCATTTTTGACCCACAGCCAATTAACCAAAAGGGGTTTTCGCCTTTCTTTGCCGCTGCTCCAACTCATGCGCCGATCGAAGCGTCAATGTGCCGAAGGCGCTGGCAAGGCAAAGAGCTCTTCGATGGGCCGATGGACCAAAGTGTCGGCATCCTCAGAGCGGCGGCGTTGGGTCCGCGCCCAAAAAGATCGATCCCTGTACAGGGATCCTTACATCATATTTGTACACCTGAACATTGCCTTGTAAATTGTGGTTTCCCTTTACTTTGGCGGAAAAAGCCAAATGGGACAAGTGTACGTATCTTTTAAGGAGCCCTGCTGTAAATGCCTTGTATACCCCTTGGCCCTTTCATAATCCTCGCTTTCTGTATCCACCTTATTGCGCAATTGTTTGGCCGCCAAGGCCCAAGAGTTGTCCGATTTCGGCGTCCATGACCATGCAGTTCAAGGTTTAAGGAGGGATACTCTGGGTGGCCCTGAAGCTTGCTCGAACTCTGGGCCCCATGTGCCCTTTCAAACATCATGCCAACTCAATCAGCATCAACCAAACAGGCCCCCCCAAGCTCATAAAAGCTCGGCGCGTTGAACTGACAGCGTTTGGCAGTTGGGCCCTGTGCTGAAACAAATAGTACTTAAAACTCGCTATCTGATTTGACTTTGGCCTTGCTTGAAAAGGAGTAGGACCAGGGAAGACCAATGTTTCCACAGCTTGGGCGGGGTGCCCAAACATGTGTCCTTTAAACATCACGCCTAAACACACTCAACAAAAAGCTGGCCCCAACAGTTTGCATACTGAGAAGGCCCATCCTACCTGATTTAGGGTCGGATAAGTTGCCGATTCCTACATTGAGCGTAGGACTCCGCAAAGTGGCTGCTTTTACGTCGCTTCAAAGCTTGCAAGAAGGCAACTAAGCTTGTGACACAAACTCCATGTGCGATAGTTCTAAATCTCAAAGTAAGGAATCCTCCGTTGAAGGGTTTGCGTCATGGTAAGCTAGCCCGGCTACTACCATATAAGCTCGCAGCAGAGAGGGCCTGTGACTTCTAGCATCAACAATCCAGTTTTGCGTTTTAACTTCTCTGCAACGTGTTGAAAGCGGGGATTGATTTCAGCAACTGGCCCGATTTGCTTACTTAAGGGAAACCAAACACAAACTACTTGGTGGCGCAGCAAAGCAAATAATTAACATTGGGCGCATTTACAAGGAACAAGTACCAAACGAAGGCAATTCACCTGAATCCAGCATCAGTTCAGGACACAATTCATTTCTAGAACTTTATGCGACGGACATTCTGGCCGAAACGCGTTGCGGCAAGAATGCCCGCCAATTGTCAGCAAGCCAGCAGAAACGCCGCATACCACAAAAGAAACTGTCAGAAGCACGTTTTCAGCAACACGGTTTGGATTTCAAGATCCACGCTTCCAATGTCTGCGTGTTCCTCATTGCTAAGCTCAACTGTTGCTTCCTTTTGGCACCGGTCTGCGAACGATTGCCGGATTGCGCAAAGAGCTTACCCGCTACAGCAAGTTCAAGCAGCTACAAGCAAAGGGCCAAGGGGGAACAGCCTCACTTACACTGACAGAGGTATAAGGGAAAGATGTCGAGCCCTTTCGGGGGCAGCCGACACGCGTTCAGCACAGCAGTGCGCATGTGTGCACAGAGGTCTTCATGGCATCTTCGCGCTTCTGCGCTCTCATGAGGTCTCCTGCTCTGACCCCATCAGCTCGAGGTGCCCCCCCGCTTGTCTTTCCCGGCGTTGTGACGGCCCCTCCAACTCCCACTGCTCGATCTCCACGGTCAGCTCCTCGGTCTTCTTCTCGGCGACGTTCCCGCCCTTCGCCACGGTCTTCCATGACCAGTGCCTACAGAGGCACGAATCGCCTCGATCTGCTGCATAGTTTGCCAGGCTCTTCGTCTGCCACCGCACACTTCAGATCCGCGCTGAGACTCTGCGGCTTAGCCGCGGCATTCTGCCAACCAGATCCCGAATTTCTGACTAGGGATTGTTTAGGCACGGCTTAAGGCTTAGGGTTGGTTGAGGGTGGGTTTTGGGAGGCGGATCTGGCTTAAGGTGGTTTAAGGCCAGCTTATGGTTGGCTTAATTGGTGGGTCTAGGATTCAGCCTAGGCCTATTGACTAGAGTCTGGGCCTCAGTAGCTCGGGATCCGTTCGCTGCCAGGTGGCCAAGTAGACGATGCGGCGGTACTGGGTCAAGCTCCAGAGCTTGATCCTCAATCGAAAACCAAAGCTGCTAGACTGTGAAGGCAGAGCAAAAGCTCGCATTCTTCAGGGTCCCCCGAGATTTCCCTTGAAACGTCACCCGATCCAAGGGAAACTCCCCAGTGAGCCAAAGATTGAAAAACACACCAAGCAAGGACAAAGATAGGAATCGACCCCTGCTCTTCCAGAAAGAATCCGAACCTGGTGGCCAACCCCGGAGTAGTCTAAAAATTTGACGTTCAGATTCTGGCCTATAGCCAATCTATTGAGACGACCCCACCACGACCCACCTCGAACTGCTGAAGTAAAAGCAAACGACCCTCAAAAGTTGGATCCAACATGATGATGTCGGTGTCTAGGGAACAAGCTAGTTGCTTAGCTAGTTGCTTCCAAGTGCTTGGTCAGCGATCCAGTCATAGCTCCATTTGCCAGTAATAAAAACCCTGATGGATGATGGTAGCGGCTTCCAATTTACTTTTGCTGCCACTATGTGGTATCGTGCCCACTTTGAGCTAGTTGCAAAGCGGTGCAAAGGGAAACCACCCCATTTCGAGGGTTCCCTCACGTCATACTCGTTTTCTAGTCATGACTGGTAACTTGGTCGTTCCCTTTCAAAGCAATGAAAGGTGTGCAAAGGAATCCCGAGAAGAGAATCCGGGTTGGGTGATCTTGTTTTGCCCTGCCAAGGGTTGCTATGAGTCAATGCTGCAAGTCTGCTCGCATTCGGAATGCCATCGAGCGAGAAAATGAGATGTGCCAACAAGGCCCGCTAACCTCTGCGTCGCTTCTGCCGTTGGACGACAACAAAACTAGCAGGGCAATACTTCATGGAAGCTGAACAAACTTCAGCACTCTCTCGTGTCCGGCAATGTTGAACCTGAAGGAGGACCATTGAAACAAAAGTGGGCGCTTACCTTTTGGCAGTGTGCAAGTAGCAACCCTCCGTCTTAGAATTCGTCTCATTGCGGGCTTCCTTGCAACATGATTCAGCCCTTCTTCAGCCATCGCAGCCTGGCCAAATAAAGTTGTTCGGCTTTGATTGCCATTGCTGTGCAGGTGCTTTCTTGCTTAATGAAGAGGACCAGCGCGGGCCAGGGAATGCATGTGCTGCCCCAAGAAGGGATCCGGATCCCCTCTAAAATGGAACACCCCCAATCAAAATCAACCAAGGATGAATTTATCCTAGGTTCCCATCAAGGAGATTTCAATGGACCACAACCAAACATGACATTGAGGAAGTCCAAAATTGGAGACCCCCAACTGGCCCGGTTTCCTTTTGGCTTCCCAAATCCACCCGTAAGGGACCGTGTCAGGGGTTGAAAGAACCTTGTTTGAGCTCCAAACAAAATCGCTTACCAGTTCCACAAGTTGGAAATCCCCCTGGCTGTTGCAAGGCACGCCAAACAAACATTTGTTCGCAGTGTGCTCCATGTTTGGTCTACCCCAAAAAACAACATATGCTTGGAGGAAACCCCGGTAGCAATCGACTTCTTTGAGCCTCTAAGCTTGCACCGAGAGGCTTCAGCCACCAGGACAGCTCCACTTCTGGCGCGGCATCAGGCTCCGGCTCGCCCTGGAACCAGGGACTTGGGTCCGTGGGATTGCCACAGCTTGCAGGAAACGGATTGCCACAGCTTGTGGTTGGGATACAGGGATCCCCTTGAGAAGGGTTTCTCTCGAGCCACGTTATTTTCCAAACGGGTAAGGTGCACACCGAGGGTGAACCCGGTTTGCTGCAAATGGAGGTCCTTTTTGAAGAGGAATCAGCAACTAGGTCCATTGGGCCATTCGGTCCATCTATGGGGCGCACTTCTGACTTCCTCACGCATCGACGCATACAAACCATGGCACATCGCAGAAACATCTTGGGCGGGCCGCTTGCCTCCCACCTGCAACACCTAGGGACACATGGGCGTCTGCCTGAACCCGAACCTGGCGTGGCAGGCTCCAAGTCGAGGTCAATTCAAACCCACTATAATACCAGATGCCCTGAAAACACCAGAGATGCTACAGACCGCGTTAGGTTTGGGTTGGACCATTCCCCGAAAAACTGGTACTAGCCAAGTTCTTTTGTCAAGGACCCCCTGGCAAGTTTCCATTTGGTGGACAAGAGACGAATACCCCATTTGGGTCTTAGAGCGTCCCGCCAGGCGTCCCGCCTCCTCATCAGTATGCTCGGCTTTGACACCAGTCTCGCCTGTGGCATTGTTTGGCAGGGAAGGCGCGGTTCATTTGAAATGTGTCTGGTTCGTGCCATTTCAAACAGACACCTCCTTACCAGTCATGGGCAGTTCCGTTTTTAGAGCTGATGCTGATGTTGTCTTGTTTCGTTTGACGAAAGACAACCTAATGGCCACTGGGGATTGCTCCACCCCCCCCCCCCCAAAAGTCAACAAAGGGAGCACCTAAAATAATATCTTGAGGTCCAGTTCAATGAGTTTCCATTTGCTTTAGTTTCTGTTGAGACTTGGAATTGAGTTTTCATTTGATTCAGTGTTGCTGGAGCTTCCTTTTGATATTTTTGTATGAGAGGACGGGGCAGGCAACCAGACTGCATTCTAGGGGCCCCTGAAATAAAGTAAGAATGAAGGGCCTGAAGTGCTTTGAACAACAAACATGTAAGAATACATAGGTTTGGGAAGGTGTCTAATTTTGGATTTCGGGGAGCAGGCTCACAACTTATTTTGGTGTATGAGTTTTGTGTTTAAACATGCTTGTTGGGTTGCCCGGGGTGGGTGCTTGTCTTACTCCAGGTGGTTTTATTATTCTGTTTGCTCCACCCGCCCATCTTTACTCCACATCCATTTACTAATGTTCTACAAACATTAAGCAACTCGAAGCTTGTGCTTGAGCGGGCACATGTCCCTGTTTCCCAACTCTGAATTGAACCACGGCTCGGCCACTCGCCTGACGCAAACCCAAACCATCCCACTGTCCAAACTGAGCCTTTTTAGGGAACATGATCCGGACGCCAAACGTACTATGACAGCTATTTGGCGGCTCAAGCTATTCCAGTGGCCTGAGGCCGCGAGATCATTTGACTCCCCCCGCCCCCGTTTTTGCCGCCGGGCTCCCTCAGTTGTGCCACTCGAAGCCTACACAAACGGACCCTTAGCCAAGGTCACGGGGCTTCCCCATCGATTTCACTTGGGGCAAACCATGACCAGTATCTTCAAGCCCAAAAGGAGCTGCTTGGATCCCTGTCGTTGGAAGAGGAAGTCCATTTACCGGAAAGTGGTCTAAAGGGCCATCCGGAAGCCCCTCGGAATTTTATCAAAATGGTGAACCCCAAAACGAGTGGCTTCCCCTTTCACCCACCCAAAAGTCCCTGAACAGGCACACCCAAGATTCAACAGCCATGAGTCATGACCTTTTCCCTCTCAGAAGCCTATGCGACAATGGCAAAACGCTCACTTCCCAAGTGGAATGACGAAACAAAGTCCAAGCTTGTTGTTTGCCTTCAAATGGTATTCCCAAAAAAGAAGTTCATGAATTGGGGAGAGAACAAGTGTTGCCCTTGTTAAAAGAACAAACAGCGAAACGCACACACGCACCCACGACCGAGGGATATCAGCCTCGCTGCTTGCGCCGGCTCGGCACCGCGATGCCCTCGCTGCTGAAACTCGGCAGCACCTGAGGAAACCATTCTGTTTTACTGAGTTTTGAGGGAACGAAACCTAGCACCCCTAAACTACTCCAAATACAGACTCTTTGGGGGAATCGTGTCAACCTCTGGCTCAACAAGATGGTCTTTCACTGGAGAAAAACAATCAGTTTTCAATATGGCCAAAATGGGAAGTCGGAGCAGGGGGTCCGCTAGGTCAACGTTCAGCCCTCAACCTAGGATGTAATGATGTTCTTTGTCCATCCCGGTCAAGGGCAGAGATGTGAAATGGCGCCACATGTTGAACCTGCAACAAGGACCGCCCAGTGTCTCTCCAAAATCAACAGGCTGCTGGACATCCTGTCAGTTTCTCACCCTGCACTTCGTTGCATAGGAATCAAAGGGTGAATCGTTTCTGCTAGCGTTGCAGCCTTGCTTTCCTCTAATCCGTGAAGCCATCGAAGCTGGTGCTAAGCGGGTTCTTGATGCCAGAAATGCCGCAGGCCGCAGAAGTAGCTGGACGGAAGCCAAGGGCGCCACTGTCAAATGGTTCTCAAGGGGGAACCCCAATTTAGCTGGTGTCTAGCAGGGAAACTCGTGGTGGATACCATGCATGCTCGGTGGGTGTGTGTGTGTGTGTGCGTGTCGAATTTCGGGTCTGGACCGGTGTCCTCAAAAAAACACGCATCCAGGTTGCAAAGCCGCCAGGGAGCTGTAACCGTCCATTCAAAACGAAGAAACTGAAGTAACTGAAGGCTCATGTAGTAGCGTTCAACTATTTATTTGTTGAGGAGTTGCACCAAAACTGGCTGGAGGTGCAGTGGCAGAATCTTTCGGTGGACCAAAGGGAGTTTGGCGGACTTGACCTTACTAGCACCCCCCCTGAAACTGAGAGCCAGACGTCTGGATCCAAGTCAAATGGCTCGTTGATTGAAAGGGGAATTGCAGACGGACAAATCAGGTGGATTCTACAGCATAATTCACGAACCACAAATAGAACTCCCAAGCAAAGGATCTTTGTCATGGTGCCAGGAATCGCTTCCTTTACCCTCTCCTTACCGGCAAGCTCGTTACAATTGGTCCAAAGCCATGTTGGATGTCTCGATTGGAGAAAATTGCATTTGGAATCCTGCAATGGGACTCAGTGTTCCTCTCAAATAAGTAGATCAATTCCCCTCCAAACTAAACCAACACGAAGAAAACCTGACAGCCCCAATCTGAGCGTCGTTGGTCTTTCTTCAGAAGACCTGCTCTGGTTGGGTGTCTCCTTTAGTTTCCTTGAAAAAACCGCCACACCCCCCTCCCCCAACCAAAAAGACACAACAACTTAGTTTCCGTCAAGATCAGCCACAACCCCCTCCCCCCCAAAAAAAAACACAAATTGCGGCACATTTCAGCCGAACCCACCGGAAGCCCTCCGAAGCGCTGCGCCCTGAGCTTGGCGCCAGCGGCGTGAGGTTGTCGCCCTCCAGGACCCGGCGCACCTCGTCGGTGAGGGCCGCCTCGGACAGAATTCATTTCGCACCACTTGGAATCCATGGTTGAAACCGTTGTTTACTGGTATGTACAGGGGGATCATCCTTCCAGGGTTTCTTAGGTGGTGCAGGATTTCGTCGATTTGGCTGTAGTTGTCAAAACCAATGGGAGAACCGACTTCAGTGGGGATTGAAATGGATGCTCACGGGGGGCACGATTTGGGTTTTGACCCATGGCCAAATGCCCCATTTTGGGGTCTCGATTTCTCACGTCCGATCGAGCGGGTTGGCCTAAAGAAGTCCGAATTCCATCCACCTCTGAAATGGTCATACCGAAAAAGTATCAAGTCCAGGAACTCGGGAAGCGAGATTTGGGGGGCCCCCTTCTGAGGACCTTATTCCCGGGGTTCGATGACCATCCATGCCCCAACAGGGCGCCCAATAGTTCACTCTTAAAACGTCACAAGGCGGGTGATGTGAATATAGGCCTGAAAAGGGAGCTATGGGACCCCAGGAAAAAGTTGAAACTGGTTGGGCCTTACAAAGCTGGTGAAAAAGCCTACCAACTTTTTGTTGTTTCCCCGAAAAAGACCGTTGCTTTGGATTTTGCAAGGGAAACCAAAGGAGACCAACCAAATGTTCGTGGCATCAAAAGGAACGCTTTGCAAACCCCATGTGGACCCAACAAAAAACATGGGACACCAATCTGCTGTTGGAGGTTCTTGGTGGCTTCCAGGTGCATTTGGTTCCCTTGAAGAAGGCCAAACCTTCTGAGTGTGGCTTTGCTGAGCCCCGTGTGCGGTTGTATTATTCAAGAAAAGCCAACAGCATTTTGGACTCGTAGGACCTTCTGCCAGGTTCCATGTTTGTCGGTGAAAGGATACCATTATCGAGTGGTTTGGACCTAGGTGAGTCACATTCGAACCTTGGTACTAATGGGGTAAGTGCACCCAAATTCATGTCAAAAATCAAGAGGGAGACTGCCCTTATTTGTGGCTGAGAATGCTGCCCTGGGTACTTCATTCAATTGACATCCGAGAATATGGTACATTTCAAGCACCTCCCATTCCAGAAGTGATCGTGCAACGATCAAACCTGATCATTCCTTGTGAGGGGTTTGGGGCTTGCTTGCTTGCTTGCTTGCTTGCTTGCTTGCTTGCTTGCTTGCTTGCTTGCTTGCTTGCTTGCTTGCTTGCTTGCTTGCTTGCTTGCGTCTTTGCTTCTTTGCTTCTTTGCTTCTTTGCTTCTTTGCTTGATTCTGTGAGTATTCATTGTGTTCCTGTTTTAACATGTGAATCTCAATGTCGTTCCCCTTACTACAGTCGGGTGACCCTCAACACATGGGCTCTGGGAGGCTACACAAGTGATTGTTGTTTGGTGCAAGCAATGGTTGTTAGAATCTTGCGAGTCCCGTGAGGCAGATAATGGTAAACTTTGACCGCTGCATTTCAACCCTTCGCTCTCGACTCCTCTCTCCCGGCCTCGGTCATAAGTACCAGAAAGTCTCGGTGCTGCACAGGTCTGGATGCCTGAAGGCGATCCCGGGTCCAACCCACAAGAAGTAGGCCAACCACATGCACAGGGTACACCAGAAACAATATATTCTGATTTGTGATTCATATTCAGTCTCCCCTGCAAGTCAACACAATTGTGCAGGAAACTACAGTTCAAGCATGGCTGCTCGCAACATTGTGGCACAAGGCTAGATTCTTAACCCGAAAGCGAAAACAACTGGTACCAAATCCATTTTGGTCCTGTCATCTTCTTGAGGCCAAAGGCTGGTACCAGTGACGTCCCATGTGGGATGTCCTAAACTCGAAAGGCCCGAAATGGATGAGTTTCAGCCCATCTCCCTGTCCAGGCCACCCGACACTGATGTGTTTTTGTGTCTTGGCATATCAGCGCTCAAAGGCCCAGTGGCCCTGCGAGAAAAAAACAAAAAAACGAGCGCGCCCTGTTATTGGCATTTGATTCCTTATAGGGGAATCCCCTTCCAACCAAAAAGTTGAAAGAGGACGTGGCATCCGCTCGGCAAGAGGCTCAGCGATTCCATCTGCCCGCTCCCGGCTCCCAGCTCCCGGCCTCCGAGGCCACTCGCGCCTCGCCCAGCCGCGCAGAGCGCGCCATGACCCGGACCGCCTCCAGGTACACCAGCAACGCCCGCCTGGCGCTCTGAGAGTCTGCCGCGCGGCGGATGGGAAGGGGACAAACAAAAAACTGTTGGCCGACCGGCCAACTATGCCTCGAAAAAAGAAACCAAGAAAACACAAGATTCATCAAGCACTGTTGAAACTCAAACACTCATCCAAAAACAAATGCACAATCCTACGTGTGCTGACGAGCTCAAACTTAAATCAATCTAAATCTGGAAGAGGCAGACAACACAACCTGAAACATCCCGGCAAAATCCCTTTAAGACCACCTGACCTCTTTCATTTAGGCCATGAAACTGCAAACAAAGTACAACTTCCTGAACATTTCAACAAGTACGATTTTCTCGTAGATTCTGTTTTCCCTGAGTTTACAGCGCAAACGCCCGCAAATTGCCATAAAACGCCTCAGCAATGAACAACGCCCGCAAAAAGCCGCACAACGCCAAAAAACCCACATCCTCACAAAATACCTAAAGTCGCCAACCACGCCTTAAATCATGAAACGTCCGGGAGAAAGCACGCAACGCAATGTCCAGGTCTACACCTTGAACAACCGGAGATGTTTGGATGCCTGTGTCGCGCGTTCGCTTCGTTCGCCTCGCCGCCTCGTTGGCGATGGCGTCGTCGTCCGAGAGCAAGGTGGCCCAGGCCTCCCGCGCCTGCCGCCTGGACGGCTGGACGGCTGGCGTCAAGCCCTGAGCCAAATGGAAGATCTCCGAGCATATCCGGGATACTCCAGCGTTTCCTGGAAACAACGAGCCATTTGGACCTTAACAACTTGGGATTGATTTATGGAAAAGCTGTTTGTGTTTCAAAGGCTCAGGTCAAAGACCTGCCATGGTTCCTCACTCGAAGTGGACACAGGATGCCCAAAACGGGAAGTCCCTGTGTGAAATCCTGGGATAGCCTCTGCTTAGCCTTGGGCACTGCCTCTGAACACAGGATCCCTGACCTTAGAAACCCGCATTTGCCATTCGCCCAAAAAAAGAAGCCTTCCTATCGGTTTTCTTGAAAGATTCGATGCAATGCCAGAAAGGGCTCCGCGCTCCCACTTGGCCCAACGCACGGCTCTCTTGATGCAACAAAACATCCTATCTGCTCAAGGTACCAGTTGTGACTATATATATATATGTTCCTTGACCATTCCCCGTGACAAACCAACCAGGAAACATCACCTTAAGCACTGGGAAGTGGATCCAACCAAAACAAAAAAAGAGTTTGCAAGCGGTAAACGAGTGCTGAGTGGTGTCAAACCGGTGTGGTGAATTCGGAGTTTGGGGCAGCCTATATGGACACTCCATGCAGAGTTATTATATATATATACACACACACACTAGTTTCCCTTGAGTTTGGGGTTTTGCAGTTGTGAAAACCCTCTTACGGATGGTTTCAACAACCAGGAGCTGGCCGCCTTTCATTTGGAAGTCTCAGGATGCCGAGGAACTCATTTTCAGGGGTGACACCCCAAGAGTTGCACCTCAAAAAAGGTTTCCCTGAAACCATACCAGGGCTGTCCTCGGATCCCCTGCTAAACCTTAAAAGCAAAAAAAGAAAGGGGAAGGCTGGGAACCGCCAAAATACCCAGCCACCAACTGAGCCAGCCTCCCTCCAATTAGTGGCTGGATTGGTGGTTTGGGATTTGGTTCTTGCAGAAGGTACATGCGAAACCCCTCCTAAACCACCAAACCATCGAACCCCAAACCATCAAACAACGAGGGAATAAAGCAAACCAACCAAAAAACATATTCAGACAAGAGGGAAGGCGAAAGAAACGAAAGCATCATCTCATTGCCCGCCAAACCCTCCTCAAAGCCCAAAAACATGAACCGACAAGATACCAAGCCCTGGCCTGTGTAGGTGGTAAACCACCAATCCAAGCCACCAACTGCGCAACTGAGGGTTACCTGACCAAGCCACCTGAAAGAACGCAACGACTTCTTCGCATCCGCCTCTCCAAGTGTCGCGCCGCTGCTGCCGCCAGAGAGCCCGTCATGTCCTGCCGGGAGTCCAGGCGCAGCCGGGGCTGCACCACCGCCTACAGCGAACTGACACACCAAGCCGGGACGGAGCTTGGGGTTGGCGGGTTGGGCCGATTTGTGTTTGACACACTAAATAACTTAATTGGAAAGGTTGTTGCATGTAGGATTCCATAATCACCATACATACAAATTATGTGTATATACATAATATATACTCACGTAAAATGGGTATATGTCATGGTCTCCCCCTCAATGAGGGAAATCTGAAAACGTTCCTTTTTTCTGTGTTTCATAGAAATAGCATCCAAAAAAGGGTCTCCAACTTTCGATAGACTAGTCTATGCCTATACATGATAATAAACCATCCTCAGAGTTTGCTGAGATTTGCCTAAACCGTCCAGAAGCAAGTCCGTGAACCTGGTTGTGGACAATAATTGACCGTTCGGTTGTACCAAGGTGAGCCCATCCCTATGACTACACTGTCACTGTAAAGGGACTTCCGTGGCATCGCAGAAAGTGGCCCTAGAAACTAGCTTTTTCAAAGGGTGCCAGGGGGTCAGGGAAAATTGAACAACATCCATATCCTTTTGACTTCTTGGGGACTTTTTTCCCCAACAGCTGAAAGCTTTGAATTGGGGTCTCAGCCGATAGGCTCCGGGGCGGTCCGGGGCGGCCCTGAGGTGAGGTTCCACAAGGGTTCCACCAGGGTGGGAACTTTTTTCAAATATATCATTGCTACCTCAGTCCACCTCCGCGAAACGAACTGCCCCTTGCGATGAATTCGTCGATTCGTCCCGATCCGCTCGCGAAGGCGGGCGTCGCCTGCATCTCCCCTCGCGCGCCCCCGGCCGCCAGCGCAGAGACCCACTGGGCCTCGCGGCTCCACTCCGCCTGTCGCACGAGTCGAACTCAGCGACTCAGCACGCGAGATGGTTCGATGGGCGATTGAGAATTGAAAGGACCCCAAGAAAAGCCATCCGCGATTTGGCCTCCTTTATTTGGGAATCCCCAGGTTCATTCCCAGAATCCGGAACAGTCGGTCCCTACTAGGCCCCAGCAAGTTGGGCTGGATCGAGGCTTGATTAAGGTGAGTTTAGGGTGGGTGCAGCGACAAATGTTGGATATCCAGGGTTTGACTGTTTGATTAGCCCCAGGTAGGCTGCGCCAAAGTGAACCGCTAGGTTTAAGTCTAATTCATTTTGAATTCCGTTTTTGGCCTTTTCTAATCACTCTCGAATTGCCATGGCGTAATTTGGTTTTAACATACCCCACAACCCCATTCCAATTAGTTAAGTCCTTGGAACGTCTCCGTATGCCACACTTATCTTGTACCCTTGTAGGACTCTGTTTAATCCCACATGACATATGTTCTTCCTTAAGCCTTAAAACCTCCCGAGAGGTCGAGTTTCCCAAGCCTATCACTCCGCCAACCAACCCCACCATCCAACCCAACCCAACGTCTTTCCCTACACCCCAAACTCCCAATCCAATCCAATCCAAACCTGAATCCTGAATCCTGAATCCTGAATCCTGAATCCAATCCAAACCAGAATTCCTGAATCCAATCCAATCCAATCCGAAACCTGAATTCCTGAATTCCTGAAACCAACCTGAATCCAATCCAAACACTGCCCCTACCAAGGCCTACAACCCAACCAGCGCCTGCATGGGCACCGCGCAAGCCGGGCACAGCGGTGCTTCTGCGTGGAACTCCCGGCACTGCAAGGCCCAGGGCCTGCGAGTGAATGGACCCATCAGCTTTCGAATGGCTCAAACAAATGGCGGTGGGCTGTGGGTCAAAAACAGGTACCCAAAATGGGTTGCCCTGGTAAGTGGAAACATGGACTAAAATCTGCGGTCCCCTGGTGGTTTAATTTTGACCCACACCCAAATGCTTGTGTACCCAAACACGGAGACCCCCCCAAATGGATTGCGGCTTTTGTGGCTTGTGTTGCCGGCTTTCAACCAAGCTTGAAAAAGTGGCCCTCAAAAAGCAAACACATAAATAGAGGGTTTGGCAGCAAACAAGAGATCGACAATCCGCCTCTGCTTCCTTGAGAAAAACCAAATGGGCACAATGTGGGGCTATTTGGTGCCCAACATTATTCCCAGTTTACCTTCCGCAAACTTCCCAATAGAACTCGCGCCTCCAATTGAAATGGAACCCAAAACGCACACATGTTTAAAGCGCAATCTCCAGGGGGGCCGTGTTTGGGGTTCCATTTCAATTGGAAGGGGAGTATGTACCCTGTTTCGAGTCCTGTAATTCCAAGAGAAAATGGATCACAAGTCCATGTTGAAAGGAATAGGATTCGTACGCGTGTGGGCCGAGAAGCAGCATGTGAGTGCAGCAAAGCTGATGGCTTTTACTTTTCTGCCATGGTCAAATCATGGCCAACATTTAGCATTACACTTCATGAGCCTCGACATCGGAAATGGACCGCCAAGACGGCAACGTTCAACCACGTTGAACCCCAAACCTAGGATTTGAAGATGTTCTTGGCCCATTCTTGGTTCATCACTTTAGTCCAGGGCAGATATGCAAGAAGGTTCCACATGGACCCCGAAAAAAGGAACCGCATTTCACCCGAAGATCCGGGGTCCCTGCAACGTGACCCTGCCTCTGCGAGGTAAGTTGCTGCAGGCGGTCCAGAAGGTGCCAAATGGGCCAACCGCCTGTCCGAGCAGATACCGAGCTGCCCTTTGGAAAACTGCCCTGGGATTCCTATATAAGGGGTTTGGGAGAGAGCATGAGGAATTTCCTTTGCAGGAAGAAACGACACTGTGGGAAGCCCTATGTGGACCTTTCGCTTTTTGGAGGTTCTCCAGGGCTTCGCTGCAGGGACCCGTGTGGCTTTGCGGATGAAGGCTGCATGTAGCACTTAGCTGGGTGACGCGGCAAGGCAATAGCTCTATATAAGCCTTGATCAACAAAAACGGTTTGGCTTGTTGGGGATTAGTTTCGAGGGAGACCAAAGAGACGGCGGGTCCCCTTTTGAGGGTTCCCGCCGTCTAAACCGCCTCAGTTTGTTCGGCACTCATACCTGAAAACCCCTCTGCGTCGTTGGGCTTGATTCCAGGATTTCCGGACCCATTCCAGGTGAATGTTTAGGGCACTTTCCGAAGTTCTTCGCTTCTGATGGCCAAGCGCCCATGTCACCCCAGCCCCCACCTGCGAAGACCCGCAGCAGTCCGTGGGCATCGCCATCCCGGCGCTTCATCGCCAGCTCTGCCTGTGCGAACGTTGCTCCAACTCCAGCTGTTTAGCGACGCTCGCAAACAAAAACCCTTCGTGGGGACCCTTTTTGCCGACAGGAAAAAAACATGGACTGGGAATCACCGGGCGTCAAACACCCATTCAGGTCGAGCCCGGAAAAAGACAACCCCAGTGAACATCCCAATCTCCACTAAAATGAACTAAAATGGGTGGTGAATTCACCTACCAACCAAAATGGGATCCCATTGGTTTTGACCGGGAACCATACTCTGTCGGAGCACTCCGCCTGCTTGTGCCAGGCTGCCTCCGCCGCCTCCACACTCTCCAGGAGCTTGCCTCAGCGAAGCCGACGCAAGCCACGAGCAAAATTTAAGCCTCGAAGCGAGGGTACCCCCAAAAGAATGGCCAAGAAATCCTGTTTCATATTCAGTGAATTTTACTTGGGGCACTGTGGTGGACACCATTTTGGTGGATGTGTGTCCACCAACCACTGTTCTGCGGGGTTCCTATTGAAACTTGTGCCGCGCCAAAAAAGGGCTCACCAAACATGTGGTGGGCTTCACTTGAAACCACTCCAACAAAACGTACCCTCCAAAAAAAGGCACACCCAACTATCTCCGGGCGCTGGGAGGAAGGCTGCCAGGGCCGGCCCCTAAAGTGAAGGGTGGGGATTAGGGAAGGGCGAGCCAAGGCCAAAAGTTAAGAAGGCTTCCTTCAGGTGCGCCACGGTCAAGAGGGCTGATTTCACGTTCAAAGGAAAAATGTGCTTGGCGAGTCAGCCCACGTCCCTCCCACTTTGATTGCAGACAACTTGATACATTGGCGGAAGCTCATGTCTGAAAGGAAACATGGTCGTCCTCTGGAAACTATATACCCCTCGTTCCGTTCAAACCCTCGCTCACAGGAAACTCCATTTAGATTGAACATGAACGGGTCAGTCGTAATCCAAATCTGGTGTAAAAATGGTTGGGACTATCCCGTACTAACTTTCATCTACCCGGGTTTTGCTTGCGGCTCAGGTGATGTCTAAAACTAGCCAAGAGGGAAAATAGGAAACATGCTCCGGCCATTGCCAGGCGAGGGCTGAGGCAGCCGCACAGGACGGAAGAACAGGTTCAATGGCATGTTTGCAGACTGTAGAGCGGCAAAGTGACAACCACAGGGCACAAAGCTCTACAGTACCAGACGCACTGCCGAGAAGTCTCTGACGGGATTGCTGTCCTGTGTCATTCAGGGTTTGCAGTCCAAGGCTTTCTCGCCTGGGGACCACATGAACGAGGGGCAAGCGCATAGGTTTACCTGCTTGCAGGCAGGAACATGCTTGCTGAAGCAACCAAAGCCATTTGTGCGACCCTGCGCAACATCAAACTGCAGCATGCCCAGCATAGAGCGAGAGTCACCAACTACAAGGGCAATTGCCGTTTTCAGGCCCATGTTAGAATTCTTATGCGTGTTACAAAGAAACACAGCAACCGCAACAACCTGCTTTGTTTGGAGGGCTCTTGGAGGCAAATCAAAAGGACACCGCGCAATTTTAGAGGGGCTCTAGTTTTTCTCTGCCCAAAAGCGCATCCAAGCCCCCCTGGTACGCCACCTGTGACCCTCCCAGGAAATGGCCAAAGGGGTATCACCGGAGGTCTTCAAGTCCTTGCAAGCAGCGGTTTCCACGGCTGCAGAAAGGACTCGCCCCGGCACGATGGTTGGTTTCTAACAGAAGACCCCGGTGTACAGTAGACGAAGACGAGGTCTGTCATGTGTGTGGTGAGTCCTACTCATCCGCCTACCAATCGGAGAGACTCCCAAAAGAGGGCCTTCATCATGTGTGCCCCAAATGGGGCGTAAATCCAACGCCTCGTGCTGTATCTCCGTTGCCCCAGTAAACACTGTGAATCCAGAAGCCGTAGGGATCCGTCTTTTCAGAAACCCGCCCCTTCGCTGCTTCGCTCAGGCGCCGAAGTAGCGCTCCACCCCTTCGCTGGTGGACGCCCCGCGACTGAGCCCCGGGAAGGAGGCCAGGACGATGGCGCGGCCCAGGTGTGCGAAGGCAACGCAAAGGAGGCAGTCGTCCTATGAGCCCAAGGAATCTAGCAACCAGGACAGCAACCTCCATTTGCTTAAGTCCCCTGGGAAAAATCCAGTAGTAATAGATTCTCTTTAAAACCAACAGGGGAAACCAAAAAATATTCTTAAGCAAATGGAAGGCAACTAAGCAAGTGGGCAGCCAGCCAACCAACCAACATGTCAGAAAGATTCATGCAAGCAAAACCGCAAACAAACCAACAAACAAAATCATCTCCTCACCCAAACATGGAATTGGCAACGAGAAATCTAAACCTGCCATAGACGTACCTCGCAGTGACATACTGAAACAGAAAAAAAAGGCAGTTGACATGTCTGTTGGCTTTTGTGAACAGCTCCCATGCATGTGTGGATGATCTGGGGTGAAATTGTAATGAGAACCCCTGGTTGAGTGCTAGGGAATTGTGCCATCTCGAAGGCATCCATGACTCTTGTTCTTTGCTGTGTTGTTTATTAAGCTTTCAGCTCTTGTTGGATGTGTTGTATTTGCAGGTGATTGTGATTTTTGTGATGTTTTGTTGTTTATTTTTGTTGTTGTTTATTTTTGTTGTTGTTTATTTTTGTTGTTGTTTATTTTTGTTGTTGTTGTTGTTGTTGTTGTTGTTGTTGTTGTTGTTGTTGTTGTTGTTGTTGTTGTTGTTGTTGTTGTTGTTGTTGTTGTTGTTGTTGTTGTTGTTGTTGTTGTTGTTGTTGTTGTTGTTGTTGTTGTTGTTGTTGTTGTTGTTGTTGTTGTTGTTGTTGTTGTTGTTGTTGTTGTTGTTGTTGTTGTTGTTGTTGTTGTTGTTGTTGTTGTTGTTGTTGTTGTTGTTGTTGTTGTTGTTGTTGTTGTTGTTGTTGTTGTTGTTGTTGTTGTTGTTGTTGTTGTTGTTGTTGTTGTTGTTGTTGTTGTTGTTGTTGTTGTTGTTGTTGTTGTTGTTGTTGTTGTTGTTGTTGTTGTTGTTGTTGTTGTTGTTGTTGTTGTTGTTGTTGTTGTTGTTGTTGTTGTTGTTGTTGTTGTTGTTGTTGTTGTTGTTGTTGTTGTTGTTTTGTGTTGTTGTTGTTGTTGTTGTTGTTGTTGTTGTTGTTGTTGTTGTTGTTGTTGTTGTTGACATGTGTTGACATAATTTCTTTTTGGACATGGACCCGACCGTCGACTCGGAATCCGAAGCCACGTCCTCCTCGTGCAAGTCCTGACCGGCGTGCAAGGCAGCTTACCACTAAAATGGGGGGGGCCACAAAAACAAGTCCTTTGCCAGACCAAGACTCCCCTGCAACAAGTCATGCACATGGGCTAAAGGGTACATGGTGTTAGGGGTTGATTCCCCATTCTTTTCAGCCATCGTTCTTTGCAAAAACCGATCGCCATTTCCCCAGAACTTTTGCTGGTTTTCTAGAACGAAGGATCCCTGGAAAGAATGGGGGAAGTTACCCGCAGAAGTTTACCACTAAAATGGGCGGCCCCCACAAAACAACGTCCAGGAACTCGGGAAGCGAGCCAACTCGTCTCTTCCACATGAAAACTGGCTGGGATCCCTGGAAGACCTTCGCCAGGAGGCCTTCTCTTCCAGCCAACATGAAACCTGGCTGGGGTCCCTGAAGACCTGGTGGGTACCGTGTTCGCTGGGAGATTCGAGGTGCTCGTTGAGGTGTTCAATTGATTTGAACATCCAAATCAAGCCCCGTACTTCAAGGGGCATTGTGCGGCAGGTAACACAAAATCCATGGCAAGTTGCCGTTCAGTGGGTATACCAAGCACCCTGCTCCTTTAAGTACTGCAGTCGGGTGAGGATACATGCTGCTTTGAAAAGGTGATTTCTCAATCCAATGGAATGTGGAGAGTCTCCAAGACTGCCAATTTATGCTGGGCATTCATCACACATGCATGTGAAGATCCCAGATTGAGCTTCTGGGAACGGCTACAGATTTGCACAAAGACTAGCGAGAGGAAAGGACACCAAAAAGTCGACTCGCGACCGGACATCTACCCGGAGACCATCTCCGTCTTTCATCTTCACGGGGAATATAGAAATGGTTCTCACAGCTGTTGCTAACGAACAGGCTGTGGCTCAAAAACCGGTACCAAAATGGAATCCTGGTAAGTGGAAACATGGACCAAAGCCTGCGTATCCCCTCCTGTTTAGTTTTGAGCCACACCCAACAATCAACTAAAGTCAACCTGAAACAAAATGCCATTTGCTCAACACAAGTATCCCTTTGGGCATTTTTACGAATTGTGCAACTGACATCTAGAAGGTCGACCCCTCCTCCTTTTGGTTTCCCTTTGCAAGAGGGCCTGGTTGCTTAAACTCAACCAATCTTCCTTTGGCTTTGCTTTAAGCCCAGCCACTCTTCCTTTCGCTTTGCTCTAAGCCGACTCTAAAACGGTGTAAGGTACCCAGGCTTGGGGGCTTCCCCTCGCGCCTCCGAAGGCGTCGCCTCGGCCTTCGTGAGGATCCGCGCGAGCACGGGCATCGCCTCATCCTGAGGCAGCTCGCTCGCTCGCTCCCGACCATCCCTTGGTTTCCCTTCAGCCTGTGATTTCCCTTACTCGGTTGCGAAATCTGCGATGCTAACAGTGAATAACTTTTAGTGGTTTAATTCGGAAAACCCATTAGTTGGCAAAAAGTTGCAAGTCCTAACATCCAAGCAAAATGCACCAAAGAGTAGAAAAGGAACAAAGGGGCTTAAACCCTGGACAAGGCAAACTCAAGGGTGCGCTGAGGAATCCCCGAAAGGTTTCTGGAAAACCATGTTCCTCCAAGAGGGACCCTCTGGTGGCGTCCTGCCAGTTGGCAGAAGTGTAAGGCAACCCAAAACAGGTATCCAAAAGACCAACATCGAAAAGCCAAGGGAAACCAAACGGAGAGCAACAAAAAACAAACGGAAGCCAACAAAAGCCAAACGTAAGCCAGCACTGTATCTCACTTGTACGTGTCCATGTTGGTGGGAAAGTACTACAACAAAAAAAATGATATCACCAACAACGCAAACAAACTGAGCTCTTCAGCATGGGCCTCCAACTGTAGAGGGACACGAATTCAACAAGGGAAGCACTGCCATTTGGCATACAGATCTTGCGCATGGGACTTGAATCTCAAACACTCGGGTTAGCTAAATGATTAATTAGTCAGTTGCTGGGCTCCATGTTGGTGGGTAGGGTGTTACAAGGGTGTTCCAACCAACCAACCAACCAACCAACCAACCAACCAACCAACCAACCAACCAACCAAGCAAGCAAGCAAGCAAGCAAGCAAGCAAGCAAGCGAGCCAAACTACACCCTAAAAGCACGCACGATTTCCGTAGCAACCGCTAGACCAGACCCCCCGAATCGACAGGAATCCTTACATGATACACCTGAACATTGCAACTTGTAAATGGTGGCTTCCAACTTTGTTTTGCTGTTGAAAAAGCAACATGTTTCAAATGGGCGGCAAAATGAATTTCTTCTAAGGAGCCCTGCCAAACTACGGACTTTGTACAGTAAACACACGCGCAACCGTTTCTCCCGGTCCAAGGCTCCGCGGAGGGCAGCGCCTCCTGCGACAAGAGCCGCGCGGCCGTGATGACGTCGCCCAGGGGGACCTGAAACGCCAGCTGGCCACCCCGCCCACAAAAACAATAAGGAAAAAACCGGCAAGACAACCGAACAGAAATGTAACAGAAAGCTTTCCTGGGAGAGAATGCGGGCTGTCTGCCCAAATCGAGCTATGCGACCAATTTCACTTCCGGATGGACGGAACGCATATGGGCCATATCATATGGGTGTGAATCTCAGCAGGGGATCCTTTGGTGGACATCATGGGATTTTGCGTCAAGCGTGCGAAAAAAACAACAGAACAAACTTCTCTGGGTATAATTGGGGCCCGGGAAGCCCAAATAAATCAAAATGAGGCCCTTCTTAAACTAGGGTCTTATTTCGCAAGGAATCTTAATTGGAGACCCTTTGGTGGACATGACGGGGATTTATGTCCGCCTCTTTTCAAGAAAGAGAACCCTCTAAAATCCAGATGTTGGGCGCAGGTTCTGCAAAGCCTTTTTTCTTGTTTTTCCCTCCAAGAAGCAGACCCAGCTTCCCTGCACCCAGATTTTTTTTGGAGCACCTTCTGGAGGACCTTTCTGGCAGGGAATCATAACCCTGGTGGGATGTTGCAGGTTGGATATGTTGCCGCCTCATATTAACGGCCACTTTCAAACGGCCCTGCAAGCTTAGCTGGGCATGTAGGTGCCAGTACTTGTTGGTAATTGCTGGTATGAGTTGCGTTCAAGGCAAACTGGGTGATTCATGGCAAAACCGGACCAGCGTGATCTCCAAGCTACTTACTGAACCAATCCTGCAAACAAATCCATTGCGTTCTGGCAGGAAGGCGCTCAAGCTCCCAAGCCGACTTTGCGTCCCATTGTCATCCGTTGAGTTGTTGCACTCAAGTTGCAACTCAGCAGGCAGCACCCACTGATAGATCACACGGTGGTAGTCATCATGAATCGTGCTCACAAAAAGCGAACGCTCATGAACCACGACAGAAACAGGATGTTCCCCGGGCGGAAATTTCAAAGCTTCGTGGCAGGTTGTGTCACCTGGATGAAAGGCCCACAGCTTCCGTCCCTCATAGTCGGCCACATAGATCTTCCCGCCTTCTGTCACACATAAACCATGTAGATTCGGCTCCTCTCCTACATTCGGCCCTTGCTTTGGGAACTCTCCTACAATGGTAGGTTGCGCGTCACCCGGACTGAAGCGAAGAACGCGACTGTTGCTGCAGTCACTCAAATAAACCACCTCTTCCTGCGTCACAAACATGTAGGATGCCGTAAATTGCATTTCAGCAGGAAGACTCTCACTCTCAATCACCGGTTGTAGGGTCGAACCATTCAGCTTTTGCACTGCTCGTCCAAGATTTGTCAGCAGGTAAACCGCACCATTGGGAGAGCAGACCACAGCCTCCAAACCTTCAATGTCACCAAGGACCAACTTTCCGGATCCATTCCGAAAGCTGAACAATTTTCCCGCGCAAGCTGTTACGAACATGTCCCCTGTAGGGGAGATAGATAGTGAGCAATCCGGCGAAAGGTCACTGGCACAAAAGACTCGAGAGTCAGCATCACCAGGTCTCCAGGAGATGATGCCGCGCCGATCTGTGGCATAAAGGGCACCCTCGTACCAGCACAAGTCATCGCACAAACCTGCAAAAGTGATACTTCTACAAGAAGCTTCGCAACTGGCACCCAAATCAGGTGACCAGTGTTGGAAGCAGCGCCTCTTGGGTCGAAAGTCGTCGGAAGCGTCATCTCTGCTTCGCTTCTTGTTGGCCCTAAAGGCTTCATCAACTTTTTGTTGCAAGTAGTCGCCCTTTGGCCCAAAGGATGAAGCGAGTTGGCCAATTCGACTTAAATTGTCGGAAGAAATCGATGGAAAATCCACATCTCGCAGCAGCAAACCTAAGACTCCTCCGCTCTCGTTGGAGTGATTGAACCACTTGAAGATGGCATCCACAACCACCTCCTCCCGAGATACTTGCAGATCTTCCCTTTCCAAGATTTGGGCCAATTGAGTAGCCCCTAGCTTCAGAAAGTCAGGTTGCTGAACGGAAGCCTCGAAGTGTGCAGCAACTTTGTCCTCACATGTTGCCTTCAAATCGGGCAATCCTTGGGTTTCTTGCAAGACTTTGAGAGCATTGGCCACCGGTGCCTTGTCCAAAGCTGCACGGAGCCCCTTCTCACTAGCCTCAGCTAGCTTCGGCAATTCGTAAGCATCCGCCAGTCGCAGGAGCTCAGTGGAATCATCCACCGACACTTCGGGCTGCCCGCCGTACACATACTCAAGCAAGGCAAACACCGCTGCATCGGAAGCCGCAATTTCCACCGGCTGTCCTCGTTGCACCTGGTCACCTTCCAGGAAAGATCCACTTAGCAAAGTCTTGAAGAAGTTGCTGCTTGCAGATAGCACAGCTATATGAGCACGGTGCTCAATGCCATCACGGCTCCGCAGTGTCACGTCACAAAGCTGACTCTCCCTCCAAAACTTACGCAACTGTGCCGTGAGATCAGCATGATGTTGGGCCAGATCTGGTTGCTCCAACTTCACAGCCATGGCGCAACATTAAATGCAAGGACACCTCTCCTCACGCGCTATTTGTGCGTCTGGACACGTTTTGTCTTTTTCCCAGGGAGAATATTGTACTGACGTCAGGTTGCTCATTTCTCCGATCAAAAGCACTGCGGACACTTGGGAACCTTCCTGGTGGGTTTTTGCAGCTCTGAGCCATCGGAGGCCACAAGAGACCCAAATTCACATGTCCAAACTTACGATGTCGGCGCCTGATATGTGGTTCACATGAAGAACCAATTTTGCCACGTCAGCTCCAGCAGTCAAGGTCTTTTACCCGTGGTTCCAC